TGGCATTTTTTTTTTACACCAAATTTAATCACAGTTATCACAGTTTGGTGAGAATAGTATGTACAGTAAGTGTTTAATGTGAAACAGTTCATATTATTAATACTGTTCATCGTACAATGTGATCTCACTTAATAGAGATAGAAGAATGATAACAGTACTTCTAGAGGGGCATTATAACAGGAAAGGTATTAAGGTAAGACACAGGTGCTGAGTCACAGATCTGTGAGATTGACTGTCAGAGAGGCAGCTTTGCAGCATTTGCACAAGAAGAAACTATAGAAAGAAAAACGTACCCATCAGAGATCTATGGACTGAGCTGTACTAAAGTCAGCATTACCACACAGTAGAAATAAATGGGCCAAGGCACCCAAACAAGGTACCAGACATCCATGTATTGTTTACTCTGAAAACACATTTACCACATTTGTTCCTCAGTAACTTGACATACAGCAGTTAAGGCAACATGAAAGGGACATTTCATACATGTAAATATGCTGTAGATAGAGCTGCTGTATCAACAAATTAACAAAAAGGCAGGTACTGTATGTTACAATAAAATCTCCACAAATCTGAAAAGAAGCAACATAAAAATACATTTTGCTTCCAGTCTGAAAAAGTTCAAAACATTTTGTGAGTAGGTTCATACAGGTCATTTCTGGATAGTTTCATACTATATAAACAAAAGAAACAACAAAACTGCTTCATATTGAGCAGGATTTACACCAGTATCAAACTTTACTTTTAACATGTTTGGTTTTATTAAAGGAAATATCACATTTTCTCAGGTGCTAAAACAAATGTAACAGCTTTGTAAAGGCTCACCAGAGAGCATAACATAATGTTGACATGACTATAACAACTGAATGCGGCGATTTCCATGTTGCTCAGCAAAACGCTTCACAAATGTATTTAGATCCAATGCCTTTGTGCGTTTTGATTTGAGTGCAACCAAACGTGATAGTCTCTTTTCTGTTATAGTTGACCGCAAATACGTCTTTATGAGCCTGAGACGTCAGGCCTAACTAACATCATAGTTAGAGAAATAACGTTCTGCAACCTGATTTTTATCATCTCAAAATCAGCATTGCGGCTATGCTAGCAACATTGTGCTTTCATTATGATTTAATTTCTCGATAGATAGTTAATCAGTTTTTACCTGTTTCATCCCGTGTCTCCCCTCTCCATGACCCCTGGCTCCCTCGCTTTGCCCCATTCAGTTTTCAAAACAAGTCACTCTCGTGTCATCTCATGCTGCATTCACTGCATTCCGACATTGGAAATTAGCAGTTCTAATTCTCAAATTATCCATAATTTATAAGCCTCGCCACCCCTACCGCCAACTAGGGTGGCAGCAGGGGTGGCAAGGCTGTCATTTAGGGTGGCTTTGCCACCCCAGTAGATCCGCCTATGCTGTAATGGTTAGTATATATCAAAGGGTACACTGCAGGTTTTAAGCTCACCACAGTAATCAAAGACTTGTGCAAAATAATGTTCACAACAGTAAAAAAAAAAAAATACAGTAAAGTACAAAAAAAATAATCACAAGTAAAGTAAATGGAAAAAGCAAGTAAATGAATGCTCTGCAGAGAAGACATCCACTGTCCCTAAATGCTCACAGCACTAAATCAGGGAGATCAGCAGTTAATGAGTGCAGAACTCAAGCGTTTTGAACTGCTGAGTGATATGAATGCTTGCTTATGGGGATAATTAAAGAGTTCTGATTACAGAACAAAATAATGTGTTTTGAGGGACTGTTACCCTGTTTGGACTTTCTGTGTGACCTGCTTTACAGACATTTCTGAGTAGAGAAATGCATTTAAGCAATGTGGAAAAACTGTAATAATCTGTGCTGTGCGCATAGTGCATTCTCAGCATGTTTTAGGAGGGGAAATCTGAAAGTGTGTCATGTTTTGATCTCTGGTTACTGTGATAACCCAAAACAAAATCTGAAAGAAAGTAGATATAGAAGCAATAAGATTTTGCAGGGATGCTGTGGCAGGATGTGTGAAGCTAATGCGGAGATAGATGAAATTCAATACAAAACAGCTCTGAGGAAAATACTTCAGATTTTGTGGTGTATGGTTGCATTGAGTTGGAGGGGTGTGGAGTTGACCTGAGTCTGTCAATATAACCTCAACATACTCCCAAAACTATAATGAAAGGATTTAGTTGAGTATAACTGTCTCAGTCAAAGTTTAAAATTAAATAAAATGTAGAACTTCCGGCTAAAATATTTGTCAAGCAAATAATGTTGTGTTACGCTTGATTAGACATACCACAAACAACTTAACAACTACCATTGTGGACATATTGTTTCCACAACCAATAACTTGTGACTCAGAGACTGCATATTTTCACACCTGATATATTTTTTTAAAAATACGTGATAAAAGTGATGCATCTTATATATATATATATGCATTTAGATAATTAAACAGGCCTATCATAATACACACAGTATGCATTACCTTCCTGTTCAATATGTTCCATATCTTATTTAATCAAATAACCTTCGGATCCTCCTGTATTGTTCTGTTAACAAACCCCCCCAAGTGGTTTTGCTTGAGGACAACACGTGAAAGTGTCTGAGAACATAACTGCACACCTATAGAAGAAATTCAAAATGTTGTTTCAAAATATAAACATTTATTAAGAAATATTGTTCAACTCCAAGTCAAACATTTTTAGCAAATAATTATTGACTAAACTAGTAAAACTCATTTAAGTTAAGCTACTATGTACCCAAAGAAGAAAGGAAAATTGTTAAAAACCATAAATCAATGAGATGATGCAATTATATTAGTTTGGCATGGATTTTATGTTTGAGAACGAAAGTTAATCTTGAAGAGTTGGAATGTTGTTATTTTTTAGCTTTATAAAGAACAGCTTAAAAAATGTCTGCATTGGGGTAACATCCAGTCACCATAATCTTATTTTTAGCTTGCCTTGTTTAACAGTAAGCATATTAAAATGACCAAAAAATACTCAAATACCCAAATTGTTTAGTTGGAAACCATTAAACTATCTCTGTCTTTTCCAAATCTGTTAGCTCTGCTGGTCTCTTTTTTTTCAGACAGGTGAGGCATCTTCAAAGTTAAGGAAAGCTTATGTTGGATGAATGGGTCTCTGTTTTGATGCCCTAGTTCTAAGGCTTTTGTCTTTTGTTCTCCTGTGGTTTCAGTCTTTGTCCCCTTTAATGCACTTCTGCAAATTCAGAGAGAAATGTTGCAGGAAGTCTTTTTCGCAGAAATCTGGTTATGACATTAACAACAGGCTCACTTACCTTCAGCGAGGGTTGAAGAATAAACAATTTGGCTGCCATAAAAAAAAAAAAAAAAATCTGGTAAAGGAATGAAAGTCTGTGAGGTGATGCCTTTGTCCCCAAGCAATGTGGAAGAGAGGATTGCTTGTCCCTTCGGACTTGTGATGTGAAGGTCTTGCGAGGGAGGGTGGTGCAGCAATTTGGAGATTGGTGCAGCAGAGCAAAACTTTCTTCTTCCTCCAACAATGCTCGACATTAACCAGCCAGGACATTGTCTTATGGCATAACAGAAGCCAAGAATATAAGAAGTTTCTTATAAAGACCCGTCATTGCCAAAAGCTATGTGATAATTTATACTGAGACAAAAAAAGTTTTTTTTTTTTTTTTTTATGTACCTTTGGGAAAATATTACAATTAAATATTCAGCCCCTGGAATTACTATAATCTCAGTTTGCTGCAATACTTAATGCACGAACAGAGCACTTCTTGTTTTCTGATGGAATAAAAAAGGAAGTGAACATTTTTTTTCTCTCATCTCATAGTGTAGTAGACAAAGAAGGAAATAAAGACTAGGTGCTCAGATAGATAATTAATAATAGTTTAATTTTTACATATTTTAATTGATGTGTTTTTTTATGGTTACACTGGTTAAGCTTTTGCACATGATTTACACATAGTGTTTTAGAAAATGTTTTATCATATAGTGTTACTTTATCTTTGATTAAATCTCTGTATGTCACTGTGATGTCAACAAAAGAATAAATAAGATGGTGCTTGGCTGTCAAATTGAAAATTTTTGCAGCATTAATGTGCAACATATTTTTTAAGATATGCATTATTTCCTAATCTTGAAAAATAAACATAACGATATCATAGCTTTTTCCCCCAAAACTAAACCATTTGTGTCACCATTTTCTAAGACCACAGTTAGACCTATTTTGGTATTTTTACCAGTTCCTGTTGTACTTCATCTCACCGTTAATGCAATACAAAAAAACATTTCATGCCAGATTAACATATTTGCAAAGCAAAAAGGATCCATTGTTTATCAAATCAGAAAAACAGAAACAACATTTAAACCGACATATAGAAATAGATGTATTTTTTGACGAGCTGAGGAATGACATATTTACAATAGGCTTTAAACATCTGGTTGTTTTTTCAGACACCGTGGTTACTACTGTGGTACGGTATATTTTAAGTTCTGGCTTTTTTCAAAACCACTTTTTTTTAGTTCCGCCAATCTGTCAAGTTAAAAAAGAAATATCATACTGTACTACAAATTTTACTTATGAGAAATCCATTACTGATAATCAAATCAAGGTATTTGCAATAAGCTGAATATACACTTATTGCATTGTTGCTTAACACATGGAAATAGATCTGATTTGAGCTATTCGAGCTATTTGGGTATGTTGCATGTTTTATATTATATATATCTATAGATCCTGTATTCTGTATACATATCTAATTTTTCTCCACCATCAACACCAAGTCAAATACCTTGTAAGTGCAAACCTACTTGGCCATAAACTTGATTCTGATTCTACTGCATGTATGGGTACTGAGGCCAAATTCATAAGGTATACTAAAGATAGGAACAGGGCCAGATTTCAGAACTTTTTAACATTCAGAGTGTGTAGAATAATAACAGCAAATCTTATTGGTTTGGTTTGACATAGATAATTGCAAGTGATATTTCTTTCATTTGTTGTGTAAATATTGCTGAAAACAGGTATTTTGTTTATGAATTCCTTTTATTCAAGATCATTTTCAAATATAGCAAAAACACAGCCAAATAACAGTATTTATGCAACATATTACAGCAATATTTATATACAAAGATAAGAAAAAAAGAGGCAAAACATATCATTATCTTTAAATAATGGATATGTCATTCTTTGTTTTTCAGGTTTTTTTTTATCCATCCTACATAAATGTTACAAAGTCTAAAGAGAAAAACCTTTGGGAGAACATCTTGCTGCACCACATATTCAAGTTATGGAGGAAGCTAATGAGTCATACCGTGTGGAAAAGATTAGAAAGAACCATCTTAGAATTACACTGAGGAACCCTTATCAGTGAATGATTTTTTTTCAAATAAGAAAAAAAATCTATCACGTTTTGGGCTGGGGAATGGGAAGGTTATAAGTACAAAATGTCTGCAAGTTCCCTCAATTGACTAAACACTATGAACCTGATAATCTTATCAGGAGAAGGATGAAAGGTAGTGTAGATTATGTTTAAGAGACAGATGCCCAATTTAATAAGACACAACTGCCAAATTTAATCAAAAATATATATCCAGTATATCTTTTATGCATTGTTTGATAACCCTTTTCATTCTCATCCCAAAAAAGATTAACTGCACACAAGAAATATACAAAGGTAGCTGCCAATTTTGGTTCTGCACTAATGGTTTTCCATATTTATATGGACTTGTCCACTATACTTGCTACTAACTAAGGTCTGAATTTATGGGTGATATTATTATTTGCAGCTATTTTGTGTATTTCAGGTTGGACTAAATAAAGGCACAAATGATCACCTGAAACACATAAAAAATGAACCAATTAAGGTAATACACTTCTTTCATTCAGGTGTGTTTTTGTATTTAGATTGGAAAAGAAAAAAAAAAGGATTAATATACTAAGGGTCTCAGCTGACCCCATATTGAAGAAAAACAGTAAAATACTGCTTTAAAAAATTACTGCAGACTAACCAGCCACTTTATAAGGTGAATTACTGGATTTGACCCTCCTTGCCTTCAGAGCTTACCTATTCTTTGTGGTACAGCATAGGTTGAAGAATCCTCAGACATATTGGGCCATGTTATCATGATAGCTGTTTCAGAAATGCCAGCTCCAGGTCCATTATGCAAGTGTCCTACTCCACCAGTTGTGCTATTTGTATGTGTAGTTGACTGATTTGCCATTTTTGTTAGCTACCAAAAGAAGTTTTGTCTCTGGAAGCCGAGAGCGGTTGTACTTGACTTTTTTTTTCCTTTGCCTTCTTGAAATAATGACATAAGTATCTTTTTATCACAGTTAAACCATTAATTGTTTTCTCTAATTAACAAGGTAATTATCTTGTTATCATGATAATTATTGATTTCTTGAGATAACGACATGTATAAGTATGAATGAGGCTGGCCAACAGCCCTAGATTCCCAGTCCATCCATGCCTGCGGTGCCTGTGGTTGTGCATGTCACTACCCGAACAGAATAATAAGATCTGGGTCGCTGAAAACTATGCAATGATGGTACTGAAAATACTTGTTACTGAAAACATTAAAGAATGCTAAACTACAACGATAGAAAATATTGAAGACTTTTACGTTCTCTCCATTGTGTTAAGTGACGTCATCATCGAACATGATCGGAGCAGTCACAGTACTGTAATGTTGGAAAGGCTATTTAAGTGGTTTTTATGTATAATTTTTTTTTTATTTTGTTTTTAGAATATGCAATATTCACCAAAATACGAAATTGTTCAAAGGAACCCAAAAAAGACAAACAAATAAAAAGTAAGAAAAACAAAGTATTGCATTACGGGAAGTTATTTGTTCTTGCATGTGCAGGATGGATCATGCTTCTGGGACGGTTCGGGTCGAGACAATGCAGTCTTGGTAATGCGTGTGCGCACATAGTCAGTTTTTTTTTTGCTTTCTTTTTTTCAGGTCTGGTGGATGATTGGATTGCATGAAATACAGTAGAAACAAATCTGACTGTTTTTAATTAAAATCTTTAATCTGGACTCAGTTTGGGGGTTAATTTATCTTACAGGCGTAACACTGTTCAGAAAATGGCCGGCACCTTGGTGGAAGCAAATAATCAAACCAAAAACATTGTCTCATCACCTAAAAGTTCACACAGGAATATTTACAGAATTATACATAGGCTACCATGACTTATAAATCCTCTCCCGCTTGTGTGGCATTGAAGGATGTAATCAGTTTTATCACACACCAAGCATCTCGTTATGACAAGAAAACGGCTTTCATGTCTTTAGATATGAAAAAAATTTATTTTATCATTATCTAAAGTTTGTTTTTCAAGAAAACCACAATGAAAAAGTATTGGAAGGACACAACCATTCTTTGATTCCGTTTTTTTTTTTTTCAAATCCTATTTTTTCAATTCAGCTCTACAAATATTACTTTTAAATTAATATCTAACTTTATGGTGGGTTACTGCTATAATAAATATTCAGAACAAGGCTTCAGTGTATCTTCAATTTAATCTATAATTATTTTAAATTAAATATATTCGTCGATACGGTGTCATGTTAGCATTGTATCACATCTGCATTTTATTGTGTTGTTAACGGGAGAGGGGATAACCTCTTGTTTTTAAATAGCTGCAACATTCTCAGTTATTAATTAATCCATCATATTCTATGATGCAGATACACATGAAGTGTTTAAATTAACTTGTTGAAACAAAATACAGAAAAATGTGCTTAACCTCATTTTGTTCAGATCTGGCCTCATGTTGTCCATCTTTAGTTAAGATCAGGAACTGTTCATGAGAAAAGAGCTTCTTTCAGATTTATAAGTTCTGTCATTTTGCCTCACTTCCTTACTTTGATCATTCTCATGTGATCTCCTTTCCATGTTGCTGTTTCTCTCGCTGTTCAGGTGAATCTTGTTTCCATCAATGAAGTCCTTGGAAGAGCCTTCAGGTGACGTCCTGACTGCACTGGAGAAAGATATGCTGACTTGCCTCTTGAGCAACTTCAGGAGTTTCCTTTTGTATCCTTTACAGGCGAAAAAGTAAATGAATGGATCCAAGCAGGAGTTGAAATTCATTAGACAGACCGTGATGTGAAGTGAAATCTGAAAGGCCATGAGTTCCACACAGCCAGGATCTGATATCAGCTTGCGGATCATGTATTGCAGGATGTTGATGTGGTACGGACTGTAGCAGATCACAAACACTGCAGACACGCAGCAGATCACGCCAATGGCCTTACGACTGCGGCCAGACTTTTCTGTCAGGTGATTTTTCTTGGCTGTGAGGTGCAGCTTGGTGCTTAAGAAGGAGTAACAGACCAGTATGGTGATCACAGGGATGATAAAACCTAGAAAGACTGCACCAATCAGGATGATAGCAATACCATCCACCTTTTCAAAGTTAGGGTATTCCATACAAGTGGTAAAATTCTGAAGTTCCATATTGGTCATTTCCATTCCAAGGAGGGGGAGGGTCTGCGCTAGAACCAACATCCACACACCAATGCAGATGTAGCGCACATTACTGACTTTCCTGAATTTGGCAAAGCGCAGAGGCAAGACCACAGCGATGAAGCGGTCCACACTGAGGCAGGTCATGAAGTTGACCCCGGCGTAGGTGTTGATGTAGAACACAAAGCCTGAGATCTTACAGAGGGCCTCACCAAGAGACCAGTGGAAGCCCTGAGCGTAATAGATGATCCTCAGAGGCAAGGAGAGAGTGAAGAGGATGTCAGAGATGACGAGGTTTAGGGAGTATAAAGTTGTGGAGTTCATCTTCTTCAGGTTTATACGGATGACGTAGAGGGCTAGGCCATTGCCCAACAACCCCACAATGAAAACAACACAATAAAAAAGAGGCATGAGGACCCGAGCATAATTTTTATGGTCATACAGGGTGTTGCACGTGATGTTGTTGGCTAAGACAGCCATGTCTGTTGGCGCAGATGCAGATGCAGAACCAGAATGGATGATTCAGGAACTGGTAGCTGCAATAGGAAGAATAGACTTTTGTCAACATCATGGCTTTAATATATCATCATAGGTTTCCTTTTCTTTTTTTACTCTAACAGGCTTTATACTACAGATAACGAAATCAAAGTGAAATACTGAGCATGCATATAAATGCCCTATGCTACCTCTGCAAGAATACATATGCAAATTTACAAATTCAACACCTTTGCTCTCACAAAGGAAGTCAAGAAACCACAAGTTTCTTTTCATTTTTCCTTTTCTGACACAACAACTGGAAAATAGTATTTTCAAGAAATTTTAAACCATTTGCTGTTTTTTTTTTTTTTTTTTTTTTTTTTTTTTTTGCAGGATAATAGATTATATTATGAATATGTATGGTATAAAGTATAAAGATAACAATTTAAATGAAATTGAAAACTAAAAAAAATATTTAAACTGCTACTGAACAATTTAAGTTTAGAATGTTTAGGGTAATACATAAAGGCTGATAAAAACAGTTCATGGGAATTAGCATGATTAAAAACACAAATTTGCTGGAAATTCTAAGGTATATTCTTGGTAAACAGTGCCATCTTCTGGCTCCCTTTTTAACACAAAAACCTTGAGTTAGATATTTTTTGGTATGATTTTGCCAAGGGCATATATATATGACTGTCAGAGGTGTCGACTAACAAAGTACAAATACTTTGTTACTGTACTTAAGTACACTTTTTAGGTAACTATTCAGATACAGATTCTATTCAGATTCAGACAAATATGTTTAAATGTCTGAAAGGTCGGACACAGGCGAGAGATGGAGACAGAGAACAACAAGACCTCCCTCATCCTTGGCTCTATCTCAAAGAATTTTTCGAAATAGTCAAAAACTTGGGCTTGCAATTCATATATTGGCATCTGGCTGTTTTTTAAAACGGTTAAATAATACTTTTATACTTCAAGTAGTTTTTGGAGCACATACTTTTTCACTTTTACTTGAGCAAGTGGTCAAGTTGATACTTCAACTTTTACCAGAGTGTTTTTAAACTGCAGTATCTATACTTCTACTTAAGTAACAAATATGTGTACTTTTGACACATCTGATGACTATATATAGTAGACTATATATGACTACATATAAGACAGTTAAATATCAAATTAAATTTAAACTGTGATGTGCTTTTCTTTTTACTAAAGTTAGCACAGCCCTTTTCATTGTAGGGTAAAAGGGGCTCTTTACAATTTATGTAGCTATAAAAATGTACCTACTGTATAGACAGGATTAAAACACTGAGGATCACAGTTATATTATCAGTGACTTAAAATCCAAAATAATATGATGCATTTAATTTACAGGGCTGACTCAGAGAACAAATACAAGGTCGTTGACGCTAATTGCCACAGAATGCGACTCAAAGGAAGTTAAAAGTAAATGCACAATGATTCTGCACGCAGCTGCCACATTGTTAACACAGCAAAAAAACAAGGCGTTAAGTGACAAGGCCTTGGGGGTAAGGAAGTTGACTTCCCCATGGCGTGGTGGCAGAGAATTAGGACGTTGGAAAGTTGCATTGTTTCAGCCAGAATAACAATAAGCACCAGGATATTTGCTCTAAAGTTCAGCGAAGAAATATGCTTCCTGACCTATATATAGAAGCAGACGAAATGGCATTGTTTCTCAAATGATGTTACCCGCCTGAATTGTGTGCTCAATTGAGAACTTTTAGAATACAGGGAAGGTTGAAAGTCTGGGAAATATTGTTTAGTATAAAAAGTTAAAACAAATAAAAAAATATATTTTATAAAGGAATAAAGAAAAGCATATGTTTAATGTTTCATTCAGTCTATTAGGTAGTTTCTTGACAAAGAAATAGAAGAGGTTTACCAAACTGAGCCAGTTCTTATTTGAGGAAAGGAAGCGACTTTTTCTGGACCTTAACGGTAATAATGATATAGTTTTGACACAAGGCTTACCTCACAGATGGAAAATGCTCCTCTACAGATTCACTGAAATCACATGGATCCACTGGATATTTGTCCAACGCTGTTCAGCTCCAATTAGTTGCCCAACAGCACAGCAGTCTCACGCTGGTGTGAAAACAGTTTGACATTCAGAAATCAAGATTAATATCGGCTGCCAGTAACCATAGTGACAAAATATCCTGTAGTACTGTAGCTCTCTCTCTATCTGTGTTTCTCTCTTTCTCTCTTTTTCTCTCACTCTCCACCTCTTTCACTTTTGGGAGTTTTTGTTAAGATGCTATCTACTTTCCTTAGACGTAATAACTGCTTGGTGTAGATAAAAAAAAAAAGCCTAGTGCCACTCAGCTCAGCCAAGTGGTTTTGAAGAAGTGGTCAGTCATTGATCCAGATCTAGAGAAAAGAAAATCTGGGTATCATACAGCCCGCTGTGCCATGTGTTCTCAGAGAGGAGGATGTGGCTTCAGCCAGGAAGCTGACTCTGTCCAAATGATTTTTTTGTTTTTTTTTGTTAACTTTTTAGAGTAACTTTAAGTTTCTCTTAGAACATTTTGTTCTTTTGCAGTGTGATGGTGTGATTGTTTCAAAACGATCTTTTAACACATTAACACGACACTGTGTAATAACACCAACTTGAAATGCAATGAAAAATAGGGAAGTTCCCCTTTACTTCAGAAGTAGACTGCCATCTGTTTTGATGATTTGAACTGAGAGGTACGATCAAAGACAGATCATTTGGTGCTTTTTGTTTGCATTGCTTGGAAATCATTAATTCCCCCTCGTATAAGTAATTGTTTAATATTTCTTTTAATGTAGATGTCTTAAGATTTGTGGTTAGATAGCATATAACTGAAACCTTTAAACCTGCCAGTAGCAAAGCTTTACCACATTCGGGTATGTTTTAGCTCAGAGGTGAGACTAAATCATTGCATATCAAGGCTCAAGTCTTTAGGGTAAAATCACATGTTGACATTGTCTGTCTCATATTGAGTGAAATGTCATAACTATAAAGTTCCATTTATGTCCAAGTAATGTTTATATTACATGTCATTACCAAGCCATCATAGTTCATCCCTGGAATGTTAATGATGTGAAGAAACAAACAATGTTATTCATTTTCATTAAATAGGTCATATTCGAGAGGCAGTTACTATTCATGTCGAAGTTGAGTCACAAGTCTTCTTGAATAATCAAGTCAAGTCTCAAATCAGTAAATATGTGACTCATGTCTTTCTCCAGTCAACCTTTAAAGTGAACGTCCAGATATGTGGAACAGATCCACTGACTGACATCTTGAGTTTTAAGCCTATAAGCTAAATGAGAAATGCTTACAAATTACCGCAAGTGTATAAAAAGCGATCAAATGTACTAAAGTTATAAAGAGTTTTGCTAAGATTACAGAGGAAATATGGGGCCATCCACATTTTAATTTTAAAATAATACAAAATGTGTTACAGAATTATTCCTTCAGATCTCACCATTTCAGATCTTCAGTGGCATCTGGTGATTAAAAAGTTAAAGTTTTTCTTTCAATGTCTTCTAGTTAGGATTTCAATTTAGTTTTAGATTAGATTTTTGAAATCAATAAAAAACTGATGATTTTAAGATAAAACCCAACAAAGAAATGTTCTGCATACCTTATCAAGAAAACACTCAAAGTAGGCCCAGAGTTCTTGAGTTCTTCTTAAGACATTTCTAAGGGCTGCATTTGCCAGGGAAGATGCTGTGGAGACAAATGCAGAAGCCTGTAAGTTTTCCAAAAGGATGATCTGCTGGGTGTGCAGATTAGCCAGGAAACCTAATAACTGAAATAAGTGAGACCTAATACTTATTTACCTCCAGTTCACTTATTTACAGCCATGATTTACCATTAGTTGAATCATGGTGGCGCCTGTAGCCAGCGGCCTGAAGCAGCTTTCAAGTCTGGTGAGAGAGGGCACCGCGTGCCATCTTGAACCGTGCCATCAGATCAGCGAAGCAGAACCACAGCCGGAAGATCCAAGATCTCTTCCATGATGCCAGCAACACCAGGAGGATGTAGCAAGGCATACGGGCAATCATAGACTACAACACCCTGACCAGCACTACAGAGAGAAGGTGGAGCAGCTAGTGGGCTGGTGCAGAGATAACAGCCTGATCCTGAAAGTGGAGAAGATGAAGGAGATCATTGATGACTTCAGGAAGAACTGGCCCAACCATCCTCCACTGCTCATGGGAAGAGGTTTTGCAGCATTCGATGCAGGTCCAGCAGTTTCTTCCCCACTGCCATTAGACAGCTGAACTGTTGAGAAAACTTAATTTAATGCTCTGAACTTCCATTTCAATGCATTTTTTTGCACCATGTCTTCTCCCACACTGTTTACATTTGATCACTGCTGCACTTAATGGAATGGAAATGTTCTAAAAACTGTAAAAACTAAATTCTGTTTTGTATACACACTGAGTATACAAAATGACAATAAAAGTTGTCTAAGTCAATGGCGATTTAGTTTTTATATATTTTTTATAGTTTGAATATACTGAACAACAGTATAAACAACTTGATTTTTCAAGAACACCTCTATTGCCCTTTTATTACACAGGTAAATGTAGGCTCTTCAATTCCTGTTCTACTCTGAGTTGCATTGATTGTATAAAGAAATTTACTGACTGTAGGAAATAGCTTAGGCCAGAACCGAACACTAATAAATATGGCTAAATCTAATCACAGCAAGACATTTAAAATAGGGGAAGCCTGTACAGTAGTAAGCTCACGGATTCAAATAGACCATTAAGTGTAGAGTTATGCATTCAGATGTTTTTGGACCCACTCATGTATCCTCTCAGTAAAAATAGAGACGTTGGCTGCTATTAACTGTACCCCTCCTTAATTCATCATCATTAAAACCACAGATTTTCAACATTAAAAAAACTAATTTGACTATAATCAAATAAATCCCTTGTAGACTTGATAAAACTAACAGCTCTTATTTGCCTGCTATTTCATCTTGTGAATGTGTCTTTCAGTGTGGTTTTAACACCTTTTGAATCTCACCCGCCCTTTCTAAGGCATGCTCAGAAAATAGATGCTTACAATAGGGTCCCATGCAAGGTGCACATCTTTTTAAGAAGACACTTAAAAACAACTCTGGTAGTGAGGGAGAGGAAGTATTTTGACTTCCTCATGGCCTGGCCATGAGGCTCTGACTCATGGACGCCCAGACAGCTGGATTAAACCCATTGCAGATGGGTTTCCCAAGAGAGCTGACTTTGTTATGTAAAACGGACAATGTAGCTCTACACCAACAAAAGCTGCATACAATGTTTGTATTTTTTAATATCATGACATTTGTTCTAAAGGACCTTGAAATGTAGTCGTGAAAAAAAAAAAAATCCTACAGAATTTGGCATATGTTCTGCACATATTACATTTTGGCAAATTAAATAAAGAAAAAAAATGCCAGCATCATGAATTATTAGGCCATTGTCTCGAGGCCCATGTCTTCCGTACCACCTAGGACTAAAGTTTTGCATACTACTACCTTCTTATATTTACGACAGCACAGTATGACATAGAGCAGTTTAAAATGTTTAAATTTAGATACTGCATTTTCCACTTTCAGTAGGAAACCCTCTTCTTTCTAACAGTGTGTGCTATTTTACCTAAAGTAAAAATATCTAACAGCATTTTAGCTCTTTTATAATCTGATGTCAGGTTTTTCCGCTGTGCTTTCAACCACATGGCTTTCAGATAAGATTGCAAAATAACAGGAAACTTCTGTGGCAAAAAAAAAAAAAAAAAAAACAACTAAGAAAAATATGGTTACTAAACTCACATTACTCATTGTGGCATTATTTCAGCATTGTGTTATGCAATCAGGAAGATTCTGAAATATTCAGTTTTCTGCGGTGATGTTGGCATTAAAACTGAAGGCCAAAACTTGGGCAAGTAACTTCACCTTTAATCTGTTGAGGCTCTGTGCTTCTCCTTTTCTGATGACAACAAGCAGCCATTATCACTGTGCAGAATTCACACCTCCCAGTTCTCCATCTGTGAGAATTGAAACTGTTCAATTAAGCCGTTGACACGTTTACTCGATGAGTCCCCAACATACTTACCCCTTAGTTCATCCAGGGTCTAAAAATAAATTAATAGAAATAAATCAAAAGTTTGTGGTGGACCATATGCCCTTTACAGTGGTAGAAATCAACCATGGGCCAATTGAAACTAATTTCACTTCCAAACCAGGATGTTGTAATGATAAAGCCATGAAATTGTCACAAAACACCCTGTTTTCTACTTCATTTACTCAAAATTTTAGATCATTATGCTCTAAGCTAAGCTAAACTCTACACTCTTAGACAAAGCTCTTCACATGCAGGTGAACAGTACTGCATTTACTGAGTTTTTGGCTCATTACCTAATGTTGAATCTGTAAACACTTCTGCTGTAACACTAGTAAGTCACAGGATGGCAGCAGTGTTATATCAGTTATTTATCTCTTAAAACTTCATAGATTTCAAAGGGTTAAATTAAAATGCCATTTTAGGGCAAATGTTTTTCTGAAGTCTCTTTACATTGCTGTTTTTTCAGCTAATCTAGAAATTAATATCCATAATCTGCAAAACAGTCATCTTTTCTTTCATATTTATATAGTTAATAAAGATACAAACATGGAGCATAAAGCTGAATATCAAAAAAGTAAAAGCACAGAACCATCCATCAGATTCCTTATTAGCAGAGTTATATACTGTTTGCAGCTCTTTGGCACCAGATGATACAAATATAATGCTGTTTATCTTAAAGAAATAAATGCAAAGTTATTTTTTTTAAGATGGATCCCATAATGAAACTAACTTAATAACAACTGCGCTGATAACAACACTTGACTGGTTTTACCATTTGGTCATTGTTGGTTAAATCTCATGTTGTTAATTATGTCTTTGAAAAATCTTAATTAAGTCTGAAAATTTATTTGACCATGGCTATTTATATAGTTTAATGACATAGTTTCTCAGTTTGTTTTTTTTTCAACCAGTTTGTTTGTTTTAGAAATAGAATTGTGTGAGAAATTCAAGAGGGACTTGTATTTTCTCATGAAAGGTTTTATATTTACGACTTTCTTTGCAGTTGCATCATGGGTTGTGTCTAATCATAGTTGTTTTTAGATCTATATATATAAAAAATACAAAAATGTATTAAAAAAAAACATTTAAGAAAGGAAGTGTGCAAAGGACAGCCAAAATGATAATAAGTACAAATTTGTCTTATAATGAAGACATTATCCGCCCCAAAACTCTTAATCTGGACATATGTGGAGGCCTTTTTTTTTAAAAAACACTTTCCATTCTTTTCACAAACTCTTTGGTAAAAAAAAAAAATAAATAAATAAAATTATATATATATATATATATATATATATATATATATATATATATATATAT